ATTCAATCTACAACAGCAAAAAAAGATTATTTTTGTTTTTAAATCCAAACTATTGTGACACAGGATCTAATTAGTGGCACTTGTCAGCGTATCCACTGTTAGCGTAACACACCCGCTTTAAGGACACTGACTGCTATTCAATCTATAACAGTGAAAAAAGTTTTTTGTTTTTAAATCCAAGCTATTGTGACACCAGATGTAAATGGTGGCACTGACTGGGGAAATGGGCACAGTATGCACTGTGAGCCTGACACAGAAGCTGGCAGCAGTGGCAGACAACTGACTGCTATTCAATCTATAACAGTGAAAAAAGTTTTGTTTTAAATCCAAGCTATTGTGACACCAGATATAAGTGGTGGCACTGACTGGGGAAATGGGCACAGTATGCACTGTGAGCCTGACACAGAAGCTGGCAGCAGTGGCAGACAACTGACTGCTATTCAATCTATAACAGTGAAAAAAGTTTTTTGTTTTTAAATCCAAGCTATTGTGACACCAGATGTAATTGGTGGCACTGACTGGGGAAATGGGCACTGTGAGCCTGACACAGAAGCTGGCAGCAGTGGCAGACAACTAAGTGCATTTACATTACATAGAAAAAATAAAATAAAAAAAAAGCATACCCTTATCCCTAACCTAGCTATGCTTTTCCCTATCTTATGAACAGCAGCTACACTTTCCCTCCTCTTACTAAGCATGCAGCTTGAGAATGAATCTAAAATGGATGCGGTCCAGTAGGTGGGAGGGTCTGCTAGGGAGGCTGTGCTGCTAATTGGCTGGAATGTTTCTGCTGACTGTGAGGTACAGGGTCAAAGTTTACTCAATGATGACGAATAGGGGGCGGGTCGAACCGCGCATATGTTCGCCCGCTGCGGCGAACGCGAACATGCTATGTTCGCCAGGAACCGTTCGCTGGCGAACCGTTCGGTACATCACTAATACTCAATCCCTCTCATTAGCACATTTCTTAGATGTGCAATTTATTAAATACATTGTTTTCATATAAACAAATATTTAGGGACAATACAAAATACAATTTACCATTCTTTCAGATAGAAATATTTGTCCCTTAAAAATTGTCATGCTTTCTAAGGACAATTCTGTCTGTTAAGAAAAAACATAAACATAAAAACCCCAGAAATCGGAAATGTTTTTACTTGTTATAGAAGCTCATTTACCCAGAAAACATTTAGTATTAGAAAGTTAATAAAAAAAAAATAAAAAAATATATATATATATAGTCCAAAAAGTTACCGGCACTCCTCAAGGAGCTTTCATCAGGACATAAATATATAATGTTGTACAGCCATGTCAGCCATTTCGTTTGCTATCTATGTTTATATATATATTTTTTTTTTCTTTGTACTTTGTACTTTGTTTGGAACAAAAGTTCTGTCTATATATTTTTTGATACCTACATATTCTTTTATGATTTGTTTATATAAAATAGTTATGTTTACTTTTGTATGAATAAATATATTCATGTAGTGAGTGTTAGTTCTTAATACTGATTCTCCTTCTTATAGGAAGATTAATAAGGACAGAAAGAAATGCTGTATAATCTCTCCCAAGCTTTTAGCTTCTGGCTCACAAAGAACCTTCAGAACGTTTGGATTTTTAATAGCAGATTACAGGTTGAACTGTATTTGATGCCTTAATCCACTCAGACAGATCAGTCTGCTCTCTGAAAAACTCTGCCTTCAAGAGGGTGCCCTTTCCATGATTAATGATAAAGACAACAGATTTCTTTCTCTAATCTATCAAACAGTTTCTTCCGACTTCTGCAATTTTTCATTAATAAAGCATCCTCTCCTAAATCAGATCTATTTCTTTGTTGGAAAATCTGTTCAAGCTCATCTGTCACCAGTTGGCTGTATAAAAAGCTTCTGCTTGCAAGATCTATTTTGTGGGAAAGGATAATGTTTTAGAAAAGTATTTTTTGATTGTTCTCAAGAACTTTATGAATATGAAAATAAAAAGTAGAAATCTATCTATCTATCTATCTATCTGTCTGTCTGTCCGTCTGTCTGTTGTTCATCTATCCATCAGCCTACCCATCTACATCTTTCAAGTTGTGGTGTCTATTTCATGAAAGCTCTATGACTTAGTAGTCTTTTAGCAATACTCTTTCTGGATTTGTGGTTCTCTTGCATGATATTTTGCATTCCTTAGGGATTACTGTGCTGTGCAATTTTGGGCAACTGTTCTAAAGAAGGATATTATGGCACTAGAAAAAGTCCAGAAGTGGGCTACAAAATCGATAAAAGGAATGGATCATTTTAGTTATGAAAAAAAGGTTAACAAATTTAAATCTCTTTAGTTTGGAAAAATGGCACCTCTGAGGGAATATGATGGCATTATACAAATATTTTCGTGGCCAATACAAACCATAGTCTGGATATCTATTCATGAATACGACTATATATAGGATACGAGGTCATGCATTTAGACTGGAAGAAAGGAGATTTTACTAAGGCAAAGGAAAGGAAAGAACAATAAGGATGTGGAATGATCTGCTATACAATCTAGAGTCTATACAATTTATACAAATGTTTAAACAGTAATTGGATAAATACTTGGAAAAACATAATATACAGGGATATAATTATTAATTAGTTGGGCAATAGTTTCTTGAACCAAGGAGATATCTGACTGCCATTCTGAGGTCAATAAGGATGTTTTTCCTAGTTTGCTACACAATTGAAAGCATTTCAGCTTTTTTTTCCCTGTCTTCTTTTAGATCAACAGCAAAAACAAATGTGTGGAAGGCTGAACTTGATGAACGCATGTCTCTTTTCAGCACTGTAACTATGTAACTATGTAATATCAAATATTGTTCATCACTTGCAGAAACACCTGTGGAACATATTCCGTATCACAATCAAAAGAATTAAAACACTCACATGAGAAAAATGCAAAAACACTTTAATATACTTTTGTTCTTTTTCTCAGTAGAGGAAGTCTATTTATTACAGCACATCTGAATATTTTATAAATGTATATACGCTAAATACAATTATAATCAATTTAACAGCATATTCCTAGTATAAAGTGAGAGCAAGCTAAACTGTAGCAAGATGTATATACTCACTAACATGACTTCAAAAGATGGATACAAAATCCTGCAATTGCCAAATTAAAAAAAAATATATGTGCCAGTTCATTAACAATTTAGGAATTAGTCAGAAACCACAGTATACATTTTCGTCTATTTCATTTATCCATTTTATTATAATATACTAACATATTATTACCTTTCTATCTCTCATTAGTCATATGTTACGTATAGCCATTTCCAAATAAACCCACTTACAGACATGTTTGACATTAATATTACTATATAGTCATTAACATTTTTTTCATATGAAAAAAAAACATAATTTGTAATTACATGAGACGCTCCATCATCTGTCTCACGTGTTTACAATTTATTTTCAAAAATCATCTGGATTACTGTCTTTAACCCCTTAATGACACAACTTCTGGAATAAAAGGAATCATGACGGAATATTTGCTGCCTTATGAGTGATCCAGTTCTGCCTCAGATGTCTGAGATTGAATGGAGTCACACACCTGGGCAGCATGTTTTTTTCTGGTGTGCGCATTTGCTAGCGGCTGAATAACTTTACACAGGTAAACTGGAGCATAAAAATATATCAAACACAATATAACATTTGTCTTTGACAAATTCCAACAAAAGTACTTGCACCATTGCACCACACAAAAGTAATAAATAGGTTATATCTGTTCATAATAAAGGAGGTAGAAAGAGAAAGGAATAAAGACCTCTGTAAAAGCTATAAAATGTCTTCTAGTGCAGAACTGCCATTTGCAAACAAGTAGGGAAATGGTGACCAATATTGGCATTGCATATAACTTTGGACTACATTCCAATGGACTACATTGGACACATAATCTCATCATTGGAGAACATTACAGGTTGAATGAGATATATATTGAATAATGCATTTAAAAAAATGTATAAAGGTTTGAGCAGGCTAATACCATACAAGACATTGTACAACATTTCCTGGCAACCCACATCCAGCTGGATGACCCAAGTATAGCTGGTAGTTAGGGACATTAATGCATTTTCCTTTTAAATGATACTGACAGTGCGTCACATAATTGTATAACTGTAGCTATCTCAAGAGTAGAGAGGGTAGTAAATTAACATTACATTCACAAATACATGCAACAGGCATGCATTAGAATATTGGTGTGAGTGTGTACATGTATGACCACAGCAAAATCAGATAGTAGCCATCCTGGTAGATTTTGGGTGTTAGTTATCAGATCATTACAGCCCTCTACTCATATTTGTTTCATTAGGATGCTGGGTCTGTACTTTTATTCTCTCTGCTTCAAAAAAACTCTCAAACTCACCAACATCCCTTGTTGTTGGCATCTATTTCTGACTCCTTCAATCTATTGTGCCCATTGATGTACCAATATTGTGTCAATTTCATCCATTTAACGACATTTGTAGCAATTTTAGTTGTTTACTACTCTATTTCAGGCCAATGTAAATGGAGAGCTTCCCTGAGTATCTACATTTGAAGAAACTCACAAACAACTGTGGTCTGGAAACATTTCCCTTGAGTCAATGAAGACATAACGTGAGCAAACCTGGCAAAATGTATAAAGTGCAGTGTGATTCTAAAAACAATTATCTCACCTAGCACTCCATATATTTCCCTATGAGAGTTTTGAAGACTAGACTAGACTTTATGTACACCTTGAAGCATAACTGTACATTATTTTACAGTTGACCACTAACCTACAGGATAAAAGTGGTGAATATTTGAGGATAGTATCAATACATATAGATAGATAGATAGAGAGAGGGAGCATTTTGAATATACTTGAAGATAAAAAGTCGGGATTCTTAATAAAGAATAAGTGAATGAGGCAGGAGTAAACATCCTATTATAATTGTCTTGTACATTACGTTTGAACTAAATAAATATGGTCATCAAATAAATGGTACATTGAGATAAATCACAACCCAAGTCCTAAATATACATCCAAAGATCCCAAGGCACAAAGCCTACAGATGCCTACAGATGCCTGTTTGTATAATAATAATAATAATAATAATAATAATAATAATAATAATAAATAAATAAACCAGAAGACTTTGTAGCACAGGTAGGAAGTCTGTGGCTCTTGGACAATATCAGAAGATATCTGGTCCAAAAAATATAAAAATGAGTGTTTGAATTAAACACAGGGCTCTACCCATTTGTCTCCCAGGGTCCCAGGTAATCTGCTTAAGTAAGTGCAAGGGCAAATTTCGACTTGAGTGCTACAGATGAAAGAGGCACGCATACTTTAATTATTACGCTTAATGTCTATCGACCACTTTGAAGATGACCTAATCATGCTCTATGAAATCCCTTGCCCTACTCCCCACTCCCTTGCAGGAGAACTACAGTGGTGGATGTTGCCCCCTAGTGGCCCAAACAGAATAAGGTACAATTCTAATAGGATAATAATTTTGGTATGGGGTTATCTCAGTTTGTCATTAGCTGAGATACAATACACAGAAATCACTGGTAAAATAATCAGTATGTATAAAAATATTATATCCTGTGCTCTAAGCTTATCAAATTATGTTTTATAGTTGTACGTAGCATGAAAGTGCATGCAGCTTTTGACATTTTTTTCAATACACAATTTCTTCTCCAAGTCCATCTTAGCAATAATTAATTGTATGGATAAAGTTTCATACAAATTGTTCAGGATCATGTGAAATGTAACATTTGGATCTGTATGTTATCACCCAATATGCAGGGCCATTTTGTGCTGAGATACAGTGCCTCTCAATTATGTATGACCAATTGTAGCTGTACCATTGGGGAATGTAATCGAATATAGCCTTAAGATCCTAGCAGTAACAGTAACATTACATTAATATTGTCCAAGTATTCTAGGTACATGGAACATTATGGCCAAACATCTCCAAGGTTCCAATACCAGTCTGCATGCTACACTCCTCCAAACAAGAAGAAGAAGCAGTTTGGGCAAGAATTGTAAGCACCTCTAGATTAATTGGCCATCTGGATTCAAGGAAACTACAGGAAACAAAACGTATTATGCCAGATGGAAGAAACAATATTTTCTACTTATTGGTCATATTCCTGCATGTCCGCAAGTCAAAGGATATGGAGGTTTTGGGCAAATCAGTCTTGGTCCGTGATCTAGGATTCAAGGTGTAGGCAATGTTTGATAACATACAATTGAATACAACATCCAGAGAACTCGCTATGATATGTATACATCCTGGTATAGAAATAATAAAATGAAAATCTACTTTAATAATTAATTTATCAATACTTTTCATGTTATATTCAATAAAACAGCTTACTGAGGTGTGCAAGTAGTGCTCATCTGCTGTCACCTACTGGTGAATGAATATATTGAGACTCACTTGAGTTAATATTTGTAAACATGGATGTTTTTATTTATATTGTATTTTCTGGGCATATATAGTCTTAACCCCTTAAGGACTGAGCCAAATGTACACGTTGTGAGCAAAACAAAACGTAAACAAAACCTGGCATTTGCGCTACATGTCTGTCCAACCGTAATTCACCTCTTTCATATTAAATGCACCAACACTTATTATATATCATTTTATTCAGTGGAAACAGGGCTTTCATTTAATATCAAATATTTAGCTATGAAACATAATTTAATATGAAAAAAATGGGAGAAAATAAGAACTTTTGTTATTTTTTTAGTTCTAAATGACATTTTAACTGTCAATGTCCTAATACTATTTGCTTTTACTGCAATAAAATACACATATTTGTATTTAGCAAAGTCTAACGTGTAAAACAGTACCCCCTATGTACAGGTTTTATGGCGTTTTGGGAAGTTACAGGGTCAAATATAGCACGTTACATTTGCCAGATTGGTTACGTTGCCTTTGGGACTTTATAGTAGCCCAGGAATGAAATTTACACCCATAATGGCATACCATTTGCAATAGTAGACAACCCAAGGTATTGCAAATGGGGTATGTCCAGTCTTTTTTAGTAGCCATTTGGTCACAAACACTGGCCAAAGTTAGCGTTAGTATTTGTTTGTGTGTGAAAAATGCAAAAAACGCCAATTTTGGCCAGTGTTTGTGACTAAGTGGCTACTAAAAAAGACTGGACATACCCCGTTTGCAATACCTTGGGTTGTCTACTATTGCAAATGGTATGCCATCATAGGGGTAATTTTCATTCTTGGGCTACCATAGGGTCTCAAAGGCAACGTAACCAATCTGGCAAATTTTAATGTGAAAAAAATGAAACACAAGCCTTATATTTGATGCTTTAACTTTTGAAAACACCATAAAACCTATACATGAGGGGTACTGTTGTACTCGGGAGACTTCGCTGAACACAAATATTTGCGTTTCAAAACAGTAAAACGTATCAAAGCAATAATATCGTCCGTGTAAGTGTTGTTTGTGTGAAAAATGCAAAGAACATCACTTTTACTGGCAATATCATCGTTGTAATACCTTTTACTGTTTTGAAACACTAATATTTGTGTTCAGCGAAGTCTCCCGAGTAAAACAGTACCCCCCATGTACAGGTTTTATGGTGTCTTGGAAAGTTATAGGGTTAAATATAGTGCGGGCAAATTAAATTCCCCATACTTTCGGCATGGGTTGTCAGGAAGGTCCCGCTAATTGTAATTAATTAAAATACCTAATTATGTAAAAATATTACATAAATATAAATGTAGAATTAATATATGTATATATATATATATATACGTATGTGTATACATATGTGTATATATATATATATATATAATTAAAAAAAAATTATTTATATATAGGTATATAGTGACATATACGTATATATTTATGTATATAGATATATATATATATATATATATATTATTTCGTTCTACGTGTATTTTGATATAAAAAAATATATATAATATATATATATATATATATATATATATATTAATATCACAATACAGTTAGAACGAAATAACACACATCTATATATTTTTTAATTATTTCTTTTTAATTATTTTTTTAATTACATTTTTTAACGTTTTTACATTTTTTTATATTAAATATAAATATATATATATAGCAATAATTATATATATATATTTAATCAGTATCAGTCTACGTGTAATTTGTTATTATTATTATATATATATTATTAGTAAAATACACCTAGGCAGTATATGTGTGTGTGTATGTATATGTGTATTTATATACTTAGATCATATATATATATGATCTAAGTATATAATTTTTTTTTTTATTTATTTCAGGCAGTCCCCCTGCTGGCAATGCAGCAGCCGGCGTAAGTAAGAAAAACCGAAGGGCGTACTATTACGCCCTGCGGCATTTAGAGCCGCTTAGAATAGGGCGTAATAGTACACCCTCCAGTTTTCAGGGGTTAATAACTTATTTATTTGCTGCAAGTGCAGAAAATGTGCATGTTCTTTTAACCAGGGATAGGCACAAATGGCATTCCATTTACTGTGGACTAACCTAGAACTTTAGAAGTCTATTCCTCTTCACATTAATTAAAAGAATGAAGCTAAAGTCTTGGTAGGTTTATATATATCCAGTGGCGTCGCTAGGGGGGGGCCAGAGGGGGCCATGGCCCCCCCTACATCATGCTGTGCCCCCCCTTGGGCCCCCCCAAATGCCGGCAACTAGCTGGCCATCTGCTTCCCTCGGACTGTAACAGCCTGTCACAGCCCGAGGGAATGCAGTGCTGAGGTGCTGGGGGCGGTCTGTGGCCGGAGGGAGCACTGATTGGCTCCCCAGCACAGGCCCCGCCCCCAAACGAAGCCCCGCCTCCCGCCGATAAGCCCCGCCCCCGCCATAAAGCAGCAGCCCATGCTGCTGCAGAAGATGGCTGCCTGACCCCCAGTGACAGGTAGGCTTGGGGGGGAGGGGGTGTTCACACACACATTGCCCCCCATAGACACACATTGCCCCCATACTGCCCTATACACACACATTGCCCCCCATAGAC